TTTAATCCCAGCACTCGGGAGGCAGAGGCAGGCGGATCTCTGTGAGTTCGAGGCCAGCCTGGTCTACAGAGCGAGATCCAGGACAGGCACAAAGCTACACAGAGAAACCCTGTCTCAAACAAAAAAACAAAGAAGAAAGAAAGAAAGAAAGAAAGAAAGAAAGAAAGAAAGAAAGAAAGAAAGAAAGAAAGAAAGAAAGAAAGAAAGAAAGAGAGAGAAAGAAAAGCAGAGCAGAGAACGCGGATATGGGGGCTGGAGACACAGGACTTATGGCATTGATGGCTCTGAGGATGCAAGAATGGCCATGGCTAGTGGGAAACACCGGGTGGGGGATGCAGAATTCACTTGCAAAGCAAAGGAACAGAAGCCTATGGCACTGTGGGTCCAGCCTTCCATTGACAGGTGTGTACAGATGTAGAGAGAGACTGAAGGAGGACCTTAGGCCTCTTGAGGGCCTCAGTCCCACAAAGCACCAATTCTTACCCTCTAATTCCAGCCTCAACTCAAGAGGTCCCCAGAGGCAGGGCAGGATGAGCCCACTTACCCTGTATCCTGAGCAAGTGGGTGTTGGACCACGCAGACACCTGCCTCCTGCTGGACTGGTCTCCCTGAGCATGGCTGTGCCCCTTTATAGTCCTCAGCACCCCGAGAGTCCCCGCCTCCTGCCAGGCTTCAACCCCATTTGGCTGTCTCCCTGGTACCTGCAATACATGCATTGCACCCAGAAAGAGGAAGGCACCATCCAGGGCAGTGTTCTCGTGTCAGAATAGCCCAGAATGAACAAGGCTGGACCACGGCAAGGGTCTCCTGTGGGGTCTGCATCCAACTTTGGGCACCACAACAGCCTTGATTCATAAATGACAGAGTCCTGACATGATATCCCAGAGGTTCTAGTTGGTGGCCTCAGTACAGCCTCCCCAGGGACAACCCCACTCACCAATAGGATTTCCTCTGGGCACAGATTGAGGCTACAGCTCCAAGCTCCATGGATGGAAGTCGGGCCTTCCTTTCCTGTGTACAGCTAGAAATAGGAAGGGACAGAGAAAGAGCCGGTCCTCAAGCCACTTGGAAAGGAGTGGAGAAACCTATTTGGTGCATGCATAGGATGCCAACCAAGATCTGGTAGGCCAGAGTTCAAAGGACACAGGGTCCATGGGGAAGGGACAATTTCTGGTAGCTACTTCCTTTCCCACCCCAGAGCTCTGTCCCAGGGGAGTGCTAAAAACCAGCATCACTTACAAGCTTCAAGTTGTCCCAAAAGCTCCACACTACCATCCCACTGAACCCCCTGCCAGGCCCTACTCGGCAGACAAAAACAAAAACAAAACAAACAAAAACCTGCACTCTGTCCTAGATGTCCAGGCTTTGAAACAAGAGCTAACAACGAACTTGAACTCCTCCAACTGAAACTGTCAGAGTATTGCTTTTACTTCCTGCTTCCTGACTAAGGGGTGGGAGGCTCCCAGACTCACCCCCAAATCTCACAGTCAGCCTTCAGTTCCTCCCCTGGGAGATTCTCCTGGTGCACACCTCTGTCTTCTTCATGCTGGGTATCCTTTCCCCAGCCAGGACCTCGACCCTGCTCAGGCCAGGAGGCAGTCACTGCCTCTGTTTACGCTGACCACGGAGAAGTGAGCAAGAGACTCTTGCTTTTTCCTGAGGTTCCGTCCGCTCTCAGGTCAGAACAGCAAGGGGCATCAGAGTGGGTCCTGAAAATGCAGGAAGTGATGAGCCGGGAGAAGGTGACCGCCAGGAATCTGGCGTGGTGAGGTTAGAGGTCAAATAGGCCTGGGCCCATTCCTGCCCCTGCCCCGCCCCCCTGTGTTGTCCTGGGGGCATGCTGCCATTGCACCCTCCGTAAATTAGCATCATTGCGCCCACCCCCAGACAGGGAGCCCGTTCATCTCAGCTCTCATGTATTGTAAGAAGAAGAACACCAACGGCTCAACAGACAGCTGACATTCCACAGAGTAAGTGGACTTCATTTCTTAGCAAGCCTGGACCTTCTCTGGGTTTAGTACTCCCACTGTGCAAAATCCGTGACAAGTCCCGATTCCAGGCCCGGCACCGTCTGGGAGCGGCTACAGCTGCCGCCAGGGGGCGCCTGGCTCCGGCGCCGGTTTTAAGGGTCTTGCGTGTCCACCGGCTCCTCACGGAATCTGTTCTGGCCTCTACTCAAGGTGAAGGACCCTGACCAAATAAACTGAACTCGGGGGCTGGTTCTGGTGCGGGAACTATTTACAGTTTGTCACGCAACTCAGCCAGCTTTGTCTGGTCCTAAGAAATCAGAGCTGCTCCTCAAATGTCAACCAAACCCATGGCTTTAGATTTTTGCAAAAACAGATTCCAAGGTCCTTGCAGGTGGTGATAATCCAGAAGGGGGCAGTGCCCATGCCTTCTAAATAGTATGACCACATCTAGAACTCAGATAGCTCCTGCTGGCCTTTCTTCTTTTTCTTTCTTTCTTTCTTTCTTTCTTTCTTTCTTTCTTTCTTTCTTT